CAATTCCGAAAGGACTAAAATCCACAAAAAAAAAAAAAAAAAAAGAAGGGAAAAAAAAAAAAAGAAAAAAAAAGGAGGATCTTCAGTCCGGTAAGAGGCCTATTAACAGTCTGCTTCGTTAGGAAAATAATGCAGGGTTCACAAAGGTCGTAAGCTGTAAACAGTATCACTGTCCACTTGCTGACAGCAGATTTGGCAAAGGGTTCTCTCTCTACATGTCGTGTCAGTTTGAGGGCCTAGAGAGGAAGAAGAAGAAAAGACAGTGAGAGGGCTGCATGTAGGGAAAAAAAAAACCAAAACAGAACAAAAAAACAGGCAACCAACAAACCTCCAAACCCAGCAGCGGCTTACGCTGACAAGCAATTTTGATTTGTTTGTACCCAGAAGCTTCAAATTTATCGCAAGGTAAAACCTGCACCATGGCCCTGCCTGAAAATGCTTCTCCCTTGCCAAGGTGTGAGTGTGCTTCCTTGCTGGCTTAGCTGCTCCCAAGCAGGAAAGAAAAAAACCCTTTCTCTGAAGAAAAACAATGGCTACATCTGATTTACAGAAACCCAGTGCATCATCTATTTGTTGAGCATATCTCCAGGTGAAGCTCAGAAGGATCCTCCATCTTTTCTCCATTTTTCATGATCACCCTTTCTCAGCATCTCCAAAAGGCTGGACAAATCTTCAATCAGCGTTTGACATTGGCCACCATCCTTGAAAGACAGATGAGGAGGCTGCTCAAGAGAAGCAGCGAGGAGCCATGGATTTCGGTTTGGACTTTGGAGTTCTCCATTTTCCTGCTTGTACCCCACACAGTCAACAGACGGGATCCACTCAGCTTTAAAGACAGAGTTAGGGTCCAGCTTATTCTGTAGCCATTAAACCTCTCTGCAGAGGCAAAAACACTGGGAAGACAGCCTTGATGCAGCATGGAGATGACTACGAAGGGACACAGTAAGTAGGTAAAACCTACTAAAAAAAGTAGGCGTTCATCTGAAAACAGAAGAACATTTCAACCAAGGGAGCCAAGAGGCCAGGTTTTTAAAGGTACTCAGTGGCCTAAAGACACAGGCAGGCACCAAGTAGGGGTTTGGAAAGTATGTACATTTAAACATCCCCGTGAAATCCTTTCACATCTACAGAAGGCCTACGTGGTAGCCATCCGCATTGCTGGGCATGTAACTTCTGGCTCTGAAATGGTTTCCGAAACCAGGGCTTATGCCCCCACACCACTTACAACCTATTGAGGGGTTTCCAGATGAATGGTTGGTGATTTCTTCATATAGTGCAGGAACAAGGGGACACTTGCTGAAACCAAAAAGCCATTTGAGTTGATTACAGGAATGTCTTTACTCTCAAAAGATCCTGGTTATCAGGCACCCTCCTGGAAAACGGTGGATTTAGAGGAACTGCTGGATTAAACTGGACCAGCATCTTCTGCAAGAGGGATCACTCAAAGGCTGTCACAAGATGACTCTCCATCACTACCCCTCTCCTTTCTAAGGTGCCAGGCACTGATCCTGTGATAACATTTTATTAAAATGACCTATTCTGATAATGCTAAATGATTGATGGAAATTTAATCATTTTGTCTCATGGTTATTAGAGCAACAGCGTGACAGCTGCTCCCTGTGCCATTAGGGGAGAACTTTATTCAGCACAGCTTAGGGAGCAGACAGATTGCACGTTTCACCCAAACAAAATTTGGCTTTAGCCTTAATTATGTGGAGGGGTTTGGGGTAGACTGTTTTGTGAATAAAGGGATTTCCGACTGGATCAACATATTGATTTCTTTATTTTCGAAGGGCAAATTAATGCTAGCCGTTCGTTAATGTGACTGCCTGGCAACGACTCCATTTGGTAAGCGTGTCCTGATGGCCGTAACAAGGTCAGCAGAAGATACATGGACAAGCCTGGTAGCTTCTAGTAAAACCTGGTAGTGGCTCATATGCAACTCAAATGACTGCAAGCCCTTTTCTCTACTTCCCCTTAAAACCCCAGGACCAGGGGGGCTGGAAATGGGTGACTTCCCAAAGCACAAACCTCGTGGGAAGGCAAGGTGGGGGTCCCACACGGCAAAGCCGGCTCCCTCTCATGCAGCCACCAGTTACACTGAGGCAGATTTAACTTCAGCCTGTGTGAGAAGCCTTGCTGACTTTGAATGGAGCTATTAATTAAAAGTAAACAAGTACAGGAAAATCCCGATGAAGTACCAGAGTAGTGTTTAACGTTTAAATTAAAAATGTATGTAAAATATACTACAAAACAAAGTGACAACAGAAAGAAACTGGAGGACGGATGATGATGAGCATCATTTGTGGAAGTGGCACTGCCCAACATTTTTTTCCTGGGGACACCCATCCTTCAGATAGTGCAACGTTTAGGAGACAGATGCACAGCTGAGGTGAAATTTGCTCATAGCAGAACCAGACCACGCTCCATTTTCACAGCTCTGTTTACATGGACTTTGCGAATGGATTAAAAAATGAAACGAAGTAGATCAAAGTATTAAACTGCCTGCCGTCAAATTACCCCATTAAAGTCTGTAATAGACCCACACACTCTCACTTTCTGTCTTGTGACAAGAAGCCTCTGTTAACCCTGAGTTAGCAGCCTGCTGCTTCATAGCAATGAAAACTATATCAGGCAGGGAAGCAAGCACCCCAGTTACATCTCCATTTATTAGCGGTCCTCAGCCACAACTCCTCAGTTTTCGTCTCTCCCTGCCCCCAGGTATCTCCAGCTGCATCCTGAGCCACCATGAAGTTTTGTCCCATTCCTGATGTCCATGGGAAATGTTCATCCTCTGGAGTGTCACCCTGAATTTGCAGAGACAGAAGGGGTTTCTCCTCCAGTGAGACAGGATGATGCTGTCCTCTAAGGGCAGCTCTCTAGGTTGAGTACTCCAGTCTCCACTTTATCCTTTTTCCTGGTCTTTACTATTGGGTTCTTTTTTGGGGGTAAAAGCAATAGAAGAATGAGCACAGGTAGTGATGAAAAAAGGAGGTCAAGGAGAGATACATGAAAGGGAAGTCTAGAAGGGCTAGTGTCCATAGTACTACACCAAGCTATAGCTTATGCAAGCATATATGCATGTGGTTGGTGAAAATAATGACTTTAAAACAGAAACAGAAAAAGCTTTAAGTGAGGGATGAGGACAAACTTCTGCTTTGTCATGTCCCACAGACATTTTGAATCAGAGCTGCTAAATCTGTTTATCCTATTTGGTGGAAGAGTGTAAAACAAAAAGCAAATATTTCTGTATTTTCTAATTCTTCAGTTTGCAAGCAACTATGTGTGAGATGAGATGAAATGCCCCTTTCTCCTGTCCTTTTCTCTGCCTTCCCATCCTTTACCTTACTACTGACCAGTTACAAATGCTAGTCTTGCTTGACTCTGTGGCCGAGCTGTTGGTTGTGATTTCCCTCCAACAGCAACATTTCCTCACCTCTGGCTCACATCATTCCACCACTTAACCAGATGGCTGTCTCCCAAGCCCCACTCCAGCTCGGGCACCATCAGAGCAGCTCTGAAAGATCATCTGCTGCCTGTTGCTTTCTCCTTTTGATTCCCAACAGTGCCAATTACGCAGCACTGGAAATTTCTTCAGAATAGAAAGGTGACGCATTGACGGTCCCGAGAGGGAGGCACAGATAACATGCATTGGTGGTAAGTTTATCAGTAAGCTAACGCAAGAACCAGCACATATGGTTTTCTGTTAAAAGAAATGCTATGTGCTCCTTTACGTAATTACAGCACGAGAAGCCGCACTAGCAACATCCAGCTCCTCTGCAGGGCAGCCTACCAAGGACCTCCTGACTTTGCTGAAGGTTTGTTGAGTGTATCACATCTTGAAAAATACCATCACTTAGAGGTTTGTAAAACAAGTGTTTTCCTTGGGTACCACTCTGTAATGACTCCCCAGGGACAGGAAATCCCAATAACTACTTTTACTGTCCAGAAACTGGGGAAGCAAACATTTTGAAGGAAACCTGCGTCCTTTGGTGACAGATGTGCATTTATTCTGATGCCTCTGCCCCTTGATTTGTCATCGACGCCAGCTGTACAGCTTCTACTCCAAAACAGGGGTAGGCTTAAAAAGCAAAACTTGATTACATGTGGTTACAAGTTAATATTATGCCACAGGTTTCACAGCTCAAGACTGAAGAATACAAAGTATTTGTTTAGAAACAAGTAGATAACTACTGCGGCCAATCCGTCTATAATGAGAAAACTGCAGCATGAGATATTTTGTTCAAGCAGAATAAAAATCAGGAGCCCAGATGCCATGGCAGGTGTGTCACAGTGACCCCCTGCAGGCTTGGCGTACGCTGCAGGAGGATGGCTCTGTGCTGAGGGACAACGCTGAGGTCAGGGTGCGAAGCCCAAGGGGAAAAAAAAAGGAGCTGGCGACTTAATGCACTTGCTTTCCTCAATTTTCAGGCATGTTGCAACTTCACTTTTTAAGTTCTACTCATAAAAATAGATTTTTTTCCAGCTCAGGATCAGGGGCAGAGAGTGAGGGAGAAGGATGGAAAGGGGAAGAATGCCGGCACAGAACTAAGAGTTATGGGAGCTAGAAAGTTGCTGTGCTGGTACTTGCACAGGCACATAAAGCACGAAAGCAACTCTTTTCCTTCTATTGCTGCTCTTCCACTCCAAGAAACACTGTAAACTATAGCAGACAACCAAGTATTTTCAAAGCAAATGTATCTAAAGACA